AATTGGAGAACATCATGAGGGAAAAAAATCCAAAAAACAGAAAAGCCAATAAGCCACATTTCATCTACTTTATAATTTTGCCTTGTGCTGCCTCATTTCTTCTTCCAGGAGTTTAGTAAAGATCTTCAAAGGGAACATTGAGCTCCAGCACTGCTAAGACTCTACTCAGAAAATGGGCTCCCTATGGATAGAGAGTCCCATGGTCCCAAACTCACCATTACCCTGCTCTGCAGAGCTTAGGATGCCAGATAGAAGTAAGGGATAGACAGAGGTTATTAAATTCTAGGATGTTTATGGAAAAGCAGAGCCCCACTAATCATACCTGTTTCCTCTCCCCATCTTTGATTAATATGGCTTCTTTCATTCTTGCTTCTCCTTCCTAGAAGTTGTCAGTGGTCAGGATTTGAAGAAGGCTTTGTTAGGAGGGGCCAGGGTTGGTAGCCAATGACAAGTAGAAGGCACTCATGGAAATAAGTAAGCTATCCATAGTTTGTCATCTTCAGGGACACTCTTGAAAAGCTGATTTCCCATTTTAGGGTAATATACTACAAAAGAGGAGAGAAAGTATTCACTAAAGATGGCAGATGGGGACAGAAGGAATAAGTCATACTTTCACAAATTACTTGTAGAATTGTTCGTGATGTTACCTGAAGGCAAGTACATTTTTATTCACAGTTATTCACCTTATCATTTTATACAATTCAGTTCTGAATTGGAGATACACTTAAGATTTGAGATAGGAAAGAATAATTCAAACAGCTCCATACCAGAGCTTCTCCATTACTGCCTTACCTTCATGTAATTTTCGGTCTGTTTGTGATCTTTATTATTCATTTGTTGCCAATGTAATGTTTACAGTTAGGGAAAGTAGAGCAATAATTTATCACTCATCACAGAAATTATCCAAAATTTAGCAATAGGCAAAAGATATGAATGGCTGTTCTTTCCGTGGAGGGCTTCATTTGAGTCTATCAACAAAGTTACTTTACTGCTCTAGGCATAGGGGTTAAAAAGTATGGTTTTTTTCTAGTAGAAATGCAAATAATATCTGTCCAATGGAACATACAACCTGAAATGTTATGGTTTATTATTATACTGTAGGATACTAAACCAGTTTTGTATCTAATCCTCTCATTTATTTTATATATATATATATATATATATATCCCTGTGTGTGTGTGTGTGTGTGTGTGTGTGTGTGTGTGTGTGTGTGTATAAACTAGCTTCTCAAATATTCTTTGGACTAGTTTCAAGATCTTATTTGTTCCCTTATTAGGTAATGAGTTGAATAAAATCCTTGTTCATTTTACTTTTGTTATAAGTTGCTTTTAACTTCTACAAAATTATACTTTAACACTAATATTTTTATTAGATCTCAAAATTAACCTATGTTCTATTGATTTTACCTAATGGGACATAGTTGATTGCCAAGTAACCTGATTATGCTTACTTTACAACCTGAAACATTACATTTACCATTTGTCTTTCCTGTTTTCTATAAACGCATCACCCTTTCTTCCCATCCAAGTTATTACATGGTTAATTCTTAGATTTTCATAGGTCTTGATCCATGCTTGTTACTTTATGACTTTGTAGCAAGTTATTTGTAAAAATTAATTTTACCATAACCACCTAAGCAGTAGGCAACTAGAAAAAACACTTCATAGGTCAAATTTGTTTATGTCCATCCTTATCACTCTTAAAACAGATATGATAAATCAAAATAAAATATTAGACTTCACAGTGATAAGAGACTGAGTTCAACAAACAAAAATATTCTGTATGTCCTATGGAGGGTTAAATTCAAAAAAATGCCCAAAAGTAACACCACCACTAAAGATTATAATGCAAAAAAATTTTGAAAGAGAAAACTGTAATAGAATAGTCATAGAAAATTGATTTTTTAAAAAATAAAATTATATGCTATTTTCTCCCACTACCCCTGTAATATGACACTTGTCAAGTGGCAGTCTGCAACTTTCTGAGTATTCATGGACAATAATTTCTTCTTAAGGAAATGTTTTATTTTTCTAGCTGTGGTCAAATTTTTCTACACTATTTTCATCTTCATTAAAGGAGAATAATAAAAAAATAAAAAAGAAACATTTCTAAAGATCATTGTATACCATAAGAGTATTCTATAATTCGGTATTCTCACTCATTCTTGCATGCAGTCTCATTGTTACTTCTGGCCATTTCATTCTAGAAAGTGGATGAAAATAAAACAACCAATTTTTTAAGGAATTTATTAGCAGAAACTCAAAAATGAAATGAGAAAAACTGGTAAGGTTGCATAATAGGATTTAAGAATGTGATTTCTTCCAATTGCTGACTGAATAAAACATCAGTATTGACTAATATAGTTTAGAAAATTGTTAATATTCTTTCTACACTGTCAAGAAATATTGGTAAATAATATATTGTGTTAAAAGAGGAAGAAAACATAAATGACAAAAACTCCTGTTCCTAGTGAGATTTCATGTAATATGGTATTTAATTTTCTAAGAAAGTAAAATCTTGTTCATCTGACATGCCACATTTTCTGTAAAAATTTATGATAAACACTAAAAATCCAGTTACTAGGTTCCTGTTCATGTTCAAAGAGTCATCCCTCACGTTTAAATTTATGAGTAGTTTTGTTTAAAAATAAGATTAGTTTGTGGCATATCAACTATCATTGATTTAGACATTTTTAAATATTAACTATTATACGCTAGAAATATTTTAAAAACTGAGGTCAGATTTGGTCCAAGGTCACACTAATACATCTCTCATTGTCTACTAGTGACATTTGCTGAATATTACCTCAGGCTACATTTTTAGCATTCCCTCTGGCATGTTGAGATTAGATGTGACATTTCCTGGCCAGAATAAAACACAAGGTCAATTCTAAAGAATATAATAGTGCATTTTTTCCGTGCAACTTTGCATTTGCTTATCTATAGTACACAGACAGTTCATTTTAAAGCATGGGACTTATGATCCACTACTGGCACATACTAAATCCCTCCTGCAGGATACCTCACCGCCATTGTCCTACACCTATATGACTACCTCTCAAGCCCTCAGCAAAATCCCTGAGAAAATAAACACAGTGGAAGGAAGAATTCCCCAGATCCTACTGTAAGAGGCTGAGGGAGTTTATCCTTCCACTGCGTGAAAAATGTGGTAGTTTCATCAGCAGAATGTTTCCCACTGAGATAATGTTACAAGCAATGACTGGTATATGTAAATCCACAAGAGCTATTATTCAACTTTATTGTGAATTAAATAAGATTTTGTATAACCCCAAACAAGTGTCAATTATTTGTTAAAGTACTTAGGGAAAACAACCTGTTGGTAGGTTGGTAGTAGGAAGAAGAATTTTGAAATGTCATGAATTATGCTTGGTATCTTATTTTTCTTCCTAGAACTTTAACATTTTTTTAAGTAACAATAATAGTGAAAACCCACATTTGGTCTGAGAGCCAGCTTAGCTCTCATAATCACCCTGTCACATCCACTGAACCTGATTAGAGTCAATTAGTAAATGAAATGAGTAAATAAAAATATACTTGAGTTTTGCTCTCTGAATGAAATGCAAGGCTTATATAATTCAAGCAATTTTCTCAACCAAAAATATAGATGCTTAGTTAAAATGAAGTAAAAAACATCTTATAAACTACAAACCATCTCCAAAATGAAAAAAAGAAAACCTATCAACTTAAAAATTAAAATACAATTATAATTAATTTTTGTATGGCTATTGGTACTGAGCGACATGACACGATATACTTAATATGCAGTAATGGGTTTATTTGCTTAGTCTAAGTCTTATCTAGAAAGGCACACCTAGAGGTGGGTTTAGGATCCTGATTACAGGATTGCATTATCAGTAATTCAGATGATCTGAAAACTTGAAAATAATGCCCTTACTCCTTGATCTAAATATTATCTACAACAACCATTATTATTAGGAGAAACTCAACAAAAAGCCAAAAGATACACATTTGCTTCTATATGCAGCAATATATCTTTGTAGCTATCTAGGAAATGTCACTGTATGTTGAAGGAACCTGCACTATACTACTTCAAACTTCTCTATTAAATAAAGTAACTGTCAGTAACTGGGTTGAAGCTACGGAGCACAGACAGCTCTTTATATCTATAAGGAGTGCAATGAGCCATCCAAGCTAACTCAGCAGAGAGAACATTCACTAACAAAATGATTGTGGAGACCCATTGACTTGATGGATGTCTGGGATTGTATGGCATAGAGGAGCCCATGACAAAAATGGTAACAGATTCGAAAGCCATTATCAGCCTCCCTTTATCCATTCTGGAATGGTTTATTAGCGTGAGACAGGCTCCCTGTTTCCTCTCTCTTTAATGATACTGTTCCATGAACCAATGAATGTTTTCATTTGGAAAATAAGAAAGCATTGACATGTTATCTGAACTGTGGCTTCTTTAGTGGTGCCAAGGGAATAAATATGCTAATTCTCTGCTTTGAAGAATGTACTAGGTAAGGCCCATTACTTCACTGATTTCAGTGATTTCTATACCCAGGTGAGAAAAGGTTAATACTACATACCACAGGATATTTCATTATGCAAAAGTTTTGATTTAGGAATGTAATAGGGAATTTCAGTGACATATTTTGATATACTTTCAAATGGTAATTTTCATATTCCATTCTCCAAAGTTTAATTCATCATTTGTTAATTAACTCAAAGCAATTTACCTCAAACTATTGCTGATTCTTCATAAAAGAAGCAGTTACTATGAAAAGCTACCACAGAAATCTTGAAATATTCACAAAGGCTTACACAAATAATGCTTTTAATATAGGAATAAAAGACAATCTTCCTCATATGCACACAAATGTACAAAAACACATTCCTCAAAGAAATATTTCCTCAGAACATCAGGGCTTTCATAGAAGGAGCTAAAAAACAGCAGAAGTGCCAACTAGAAAGAAGAGTTTTCCCTAGCTTTAAAACTGGAACGAAACAACTCTCAACATTTGCAAAACATTCCTTTATTATTAGAAATAAATTATTTGTATAAAAAATTGCATGCATCAATCATTGCATTTATTTTTAGCACAACCCAGGGCTTCAATCCGGTCAGCCATTACAAGAAACAGACTCATTGTCTTATACAAGTTGAACAATGTGGGACAGGAACGGGAGTTCTCACAATCACAGAAAAATACTTACAAGAATAACATCAGACATGATTTATTTCAACAGCATTTTTTTTTCACAAGCTAACATTAGTTTTCCTTTTGTGATTTTGTTTTTTAACTGCTCATGAGTAAGCAATACTTTAGCTTGACACTCATTGGTTTTATTGTATTAAACGGGTTTCTTCACTCCCCGTTTATTGATACTTTTGGCTCATGGCTAATTTTTGTTCCTTACAAGACTATTGATTTGATTGATTGTAGTCTATGGAGATCTCCAGGAGTGAATTTTTGCAGTCTCATGTTCATTGTTTAAGATCATATACCACATCTCTTCAGATTGTGTCATTTTCCTGTTTCAGATTGAATGATTGCTGTAGCTGATATATGTTGTCTTGGTAGAGGAAGCTGTTAAGATAAATGAGGACAACTTAAAATAGTATATAATAATACATCATTTTGTTAATATGATTTTAAAATTCAAATCCTGTAATGACATTTTTATAATATCCAGCTTTTACAGCAAGTTATTCATTATTTTTAAACCATTCTCAGTCATGCACAGTGTAGCGACATTTCAGCTAGACAGCAGACCACATTATATAAAGGTGGTCCCATAAGATTATAATGGAGCTGAAAAATTCCTATCACCCAGTGAACACATAACACAACACATAACACAACGCATAATTCACATGTTTGCAGTTTGTTGTGTAAACAAATTTCCTATACTGCCAGTCACAAAAAAGCATGGCACATACAATTATATACAGTACATAATACTTGATAATGATAACGAACGACTATGTTACTGGTTTAAGTATTTACTACACTATACTTTTTATCATTATTTTAAAGTGCACTTCTTCTACTTATACATTAAAAAGATAACTGTAAAACAGCCTCAGGCGGGTCCTTCAGGGGTATTCTCGAATAAGGCATTGCTATTCCGAGAGATGACAGCTCAATGCATGTTATTGCCCCTGAAGATCTTCCAGTGGAATCAGATGTGGAGGTGGAAGTGATATCGATAATCCTGACCCTGTGGAGGCCTAGGCTAGTGTGTGTGTATGTGTCTTACTCTTTGACACAAAAAGTTTAAAAAGTAAAATGAATATATAAAAATAGAAAAAGTTTTATCCTTGAGTAAGGCTATAAAGAAAATATTTTTTATAGCTGGACGTGTTTGCGTTTTAAGTTTTTATAACACAAGTCAAAATTTAAAAAGAATAAAAAGTTTATAAAGTAAAAAGGTATAGTAAGCTAAAATAGTATATTATTGAAAAAGGAAATGTTTAAAATAAATTTAGTGTAGTCTAAGTGTAGAGTTTTTATAATATCTACAGTGGCCAGGTGCAGAGGCTCACGCCTGTAATCCCAGCACTTTGGGAGGCCTAGGCGGGTGGATCACAAGGTCAGGAGTTCGAGACAAGCTTGACCAGCATGGTGAAATCCTGTCTCTACTAAAAATACAAAAATTAGCCGGGTGTGGTGGCACACGCCTGAATCCCAGCTACTCCGGAGGCTGAGGCAGGAGAATTGCTTGAACCGAGAGGCAGAGGTTGCAATTTACAGTACTGCCATATCCTAGGCCTTCACATTCAATCACCACTCATTCACTTAATGACCCAGGGCAACTTCCAGTCCTACAAGTTCCATTCATAGTAAGTGCCCTATTTACACGTATACCATTTTTATCTTGTATACTCTATTTTTACTATGTCTTTACTATGTTTAGATAGGTTTAGATATACAAATATCCATTGCATTACAATTGTGTACACAATTCAGGACAGTAACATGCTGTACAGGTTTGTAGCCTAGGTAGACTAGGCTATACCATATTGCCTGGGTGTGTCGTAGGCTATGCCATTTGGTTTGTGTAAGTACACTGAATGATATTTGCACAAAGACAAAACTGCCTAACAACACATTTCCTAGAACATGTCATTAAGCAATGCGTGACTGTAGTAAAAATTAAATAACAGCAGAAATAAAAATGCTGCAGCAGTTTTAATATGTCAAAGTCAGTAGCCTCATTTATAGTATATAGATATTTACTAGAAAACTAAAAATATAAACGTGCTAATCTTTAATGTTTTGGTAAAATTTTGCATTTGCGTATATGTAAAATGAAAGAACAGACCAATTATCTGTCCTACAAAATACAAAAAATATTTTTTACTACCTAAGTCAAAGACCTCAATTCTTAGAGGCTGATGTAATGACCAAAAAAGTTAAGTAATTATAATTAGCTGTCCTATGAGAATGAATACATCTTCCACTTAAAAATACACAATAATCTTAGACTCTAGAGGTAAACATGCTAAAATATCAAATATATAGAATGGTAAATATGTTAATTGCCATTGCGTATTTATGGTTTCTTTTGGTTTCATCAAATGGAGACAAATGAAGATATTTAAGAAAATAAAGACTCGAAAAAAGAGATTTTAATTGTTCTACTACCAACATACTGTAAAGTAAAGCTCATTATTGTAAGACCATTACAGAGATATTATGCCAAATTTATACTCATGCCTAAGCTTCTGGAGAATATAAATCTAAATTCAAATAATTCCTTTGCATTTTTGAAAGATGTGATGCAATGAATCTCTGTCCTAAAATTCAAATGTGATGTCCTATTTTTTTGTGCAATTCTGGAATGAATAACGGTAAGACAAAAGATATTTTAAAAAGCAAAGAATGTATGTGTTTCAATACATGAATCCATTTCAGGATGAAACAGATTTTTAGAAAATAATGCATTTATTGAACATTGAATAAGACTAGAAATTGTAAAGTTCCTCCTCTGAAATAACTGACAATCAGACTCATTCCATTGTAGTGACACTATTGATGGACTAGACAAGTTCTTACCAGAGACCAAGTTCATACAAAGTTCACAACCACTAAAATTAACTCAGATAGCCCTAAGAAGTGCTACTATAGATGTGTTCTGTTATTTTTTATTTCATTGACTATTATGAGCTTCAGGCTAAAAATAGTTGACATATTTGCTTATCTTATCCACATTGCTTACCCTTCTAAGTTATTACTGTGGCACAGTGCAAAGGAAGTAGACTTTAGACCTGATTTTAAACTACATTCTAGTCCCTGCAAAATGAGTGAAAAAAAAAGTCATTGGGCCAGGTTACCGGGCCTCAGTTTTATCACTGGTTCAAAACCTACAATACTGGGTTCCTGTAAGGATGAAAGCAAAATAGACTGGGATGGAACAGCTGTAATCCGGAAGAACCAATATAGAGCCAGCCTCCCTCCCTCCCTCCCTTCCCTCCCTCCCTCCCTCCCTCCCTCCCTCCCTCCTTCCTTGCTTCCTTCCTTCCTTCCTTCCTTCCTTCCTTCCTTCCTTCCTTCCTTCCTTCTTTCTTTCCTTCCTTCCTTCCTTTCTTCCTTCCTTCCTTCCTTTTCTTCCTTCTTTCCTTTTCTTTCCATGAACCATACATGAGACCTAATGGAGTTGTACTTTCTACTTAACCTTTCCAAAGGTAAAACATTTGTTACATTTGGTTTGGTGTGAAGTGAAACACAATGATTTTCTATGATCACTCACTTTTACTTTTCATTTTTAATTTATATAATGCTCTCATATGCCTCTAAATCTCCTCTAAGAAAATAAAATCTGTTCTTTGGTTCTGTTTTTGAAGGACTTTCATATAGTCTTCACAGACAAGGTGCAGAAAAATTGTCATAAGAGTGATAAAAATGACTGTTAAAAGGGTCATACAACTTCCTACACTGTTCAATATTTTCAACAATAACTAAAATGTAGGAAATGGTTATAAAATTTGTATATAGCTAGAAAAAGAATTATGGTTGAAATAGAGTGACAAGAGCTGATAGATATTGAACAATATAGTTTTCAGAAGATGTCCATTCGACAGATGGCAGTTTGGATCAGACCAGTTTTAAGGATCTTTCCAATTTTGGGGCTCTGTAGCTAATTAAAAATTAATATATTATTTTATGAACTCTTAAACATTGTTTCTAGAAAGAAAGTGGTAGGATTCTATTGAGAATTGAGAATACAATTCGCAAAAGGAGAGTAATGCTAATTTTTCTACTGGTTAGAAAAGGAAGTGTAAGGCTCTGGAAACAGATAATTTAGTCAACATGAAAGCAACAATAAGGGACAAACTTTGTGGGTGGCAGATATCTCGCAAGAATCTTTATCCCAGAAGTACTATAGAGCAAAATGAATCAGAGATGTACAGATGAGTTCATAGGGAGATTTTTTTCACAGTGGTGATGAATATGCTCATATGAAAATCAGTTTTTGAGCACAGCAACAGTAAATTAATTTCCTTGTGTGCACCACACTGTGTTCATAAGCTAGAGAAAACAAACCTACCTCCAGCAGCAGCTGTTTTCATGAATTATTCATGAACATAGCTTAAAGAATACTATGTACAGCATTTGTTAATTGGGTACAGTTGGCAAAATTCATATATATCAACTTTGTTTCTAACTCCCATCACACTCTGTTGTGAAATAACACTTGACCTTTTTTAAAAATGTAAACTATAGTCTGCAAATTCAGCAACTAACACGGCACTCATTGGTTTCCCATCCAGCTTCGTATTACTTATTTTTATTCTGTGTAACTTTAGAAACTTTAAAATCTTGAACACAAATTCACCCTTTCATTGTAGAATGGCCATGTAAGTGAACAAAGGTTAAAAATGGTGACCTGGAGTAGGATTGTGGAAGGATGTGTAAAGATGTCATGCATCTTTCTCTCCTGAATGAGTACACTGTAATCACTTTACTCGGGCCCAACTTATGCAAACCAAATTATACTCCTGTAAAAGATCAATGCACTAAAATCTCCAAAGTACAATTAAACTTTTTTTTTTTCAGGCAGTAATTGATATTATCTTGATTCACTTTTTGACTTTACCTGATCTTCTAAAAGTGCGCATCTGACTCCTCCAGAATATTATAGGCTTACCAACCAAATAGACCTTGTTTGTGTAGTCTTTCATTCTTATTTTAGAGAAAATAGAGAAATACATGCATGCTATATAATTTCCATTTCAACTCAACATTAACAGGAAATAACCAAAGGAAAACAGTGCATGTATGAGATTTACTTCAACAATATGAGATTAGTTCCTATCAATACTAAGAATTTTGTTTTTCAGGGCATCTATTTATTCTTTAAAGTGTTGAAAAAGTTTATTAAATTTTTTCTTCATCATTTTCCAAAGGTGAGTCTGGATGACTGGTATTTATATTACTCTAAGTTTGGTTCTTTTATTTGGCAACCATATTTTATAAAGTTTTCTGGATTGTTGCTAAAAACAAACAAACAAACAAACAAAAAAACAGAGATCGAGAAAAACAGGTATAACAATAGACTCTGGTGAGTCATACTGAGACGTGCCAGTGTTCAAATTATATCACTGGCCAACAGCAGTTTATTGGCATCCTATAATAGGTTTCAACTTCCTATACTGATGTTCTCAAGGTAAGAATAAAGATAAAATTCTGTCCTCAAATCACAAGCATTCTACTTTGATGCCTTTAATGGCAATTACGAAATAGGTTTATCATTAGTAAACTGCTTACCTATACTCAGAGATGATTGTAATGATTTGTTACTAAAGCCCATCCTTACCTTGCTTCTCATATTTCTTACTTCACAAGGTTTCATGTTTGCAGAAAGGTGAATATGTGGGGGGTGTTTGTGAAATTGTTGTAAAGTTCATTTCTCTACATGTGACTAAATGTGGTATTGGTGACTTGAAGGTAATCTTTTTAGAACCAATCTGGCTAATGATTCCAGGTAAGCTGACAGTAACTGAAACCAATATGTCTAGTTAAGCAATGCTAATTAACTATCACAGGATAGTTCTGTGTATGGTAAATTAGAGTAGACAATGTTTATCCAGAAATCTTGATAGAAAAGAAGGTTTGTAGATGGAATGTAGACCATAAGTTGCTACAATAATTAAACCAAATAAAATTAATTTTTAGTTTTTTCTTGTATTTAGTGTGAAAAGTATAGAGAATAGGGGATACAGACTGCTGGATGAATATGAGAGGAAGAGAATATTTTTGCATAGGATTTTGTCCTTAATTACTGAATGCCTGGGTGGGTATGGTAATTCACACCTGTAATCCTAGCACTTTTGGAGACTTAGGCGGGAGGATCACTTGAGCCTAGGAGTTAGAGACCAGCCGAGGCAACATAGTGAGACCCTGCCTCTACAAAACAAACAAACAAACAAACAAAATTAGCTGGGCATGGCGGCACATGACTGCAGTCCTAGCTATTTGGAAGGCTGAGGTGGGAGGATCACTTGAGCCCAGGAGGTAGAGGCTGCAGTTAGCCTGGATCATACCACTGCACTCCAGCCTGGGCAAGAGAGCAAGCTCCTGTTTCAAACAGAAAAAACAAATATTGAATATCTATGCTATATTCCAAAAGACTGGAAGCCACTCTAACACAAGTACCTTCGCTTTTCTTTCTTTTTTGATTCATCTGTAGAACCTAGTAAGGTGAAGTTGTAATGTTTACCATATTCAGCTTTCTGGTATTTTACCACACAAATCTTCAATCTATATTTGCCACTCTTTCATAGATAACAAGATGGGCTTCAATAGATCAGTTAAATTCTACTGGTTGAGCACAGATTTCTGTGTATTGTTATCATGTGCTCCTTCCTGGGTGGACTGTAGAGAAGAAAATAGGTAAAGAAAATAAAAAATGGAAAGGTGGCTGTAGAAAATATTCTATTTCTAGGATCATGAGGCTTTTAAGAAGAACTTTAATTATCTTAATATATCCAAGAAGGGAAGTCAAAGGAAGCCCTCAGGAAGCCCAAGGAAAGGGGACCACGTGGGAGAAACAAGTATTGACTGTGACTTAACTAAATGTATTGGCTAACTAGAGTTCTCATTTCCCTAAAGGCACAAATAACATCATTTATTTGTGTAAGATCTGTAGTAGCATATTCCATAAATATCAGTAAACTATTGATACTATAAAAAGCACCCAATATTGAACAAGAAAAATTGTGGAATTGTTTCTAAGTACTAAAATACAACTTTTATAAAAAGATGATGCTTTCAAATATCAAGCTTCATAATGCTTCAAAAGAAAGATATGAAATGTCATACTTTGTAAGAGAGATTTTGTGAGCAAGTTTGTCCTCCGTAGAACAGCCTCTCATCTTGAGACCATTTGCTTTTAATCAAATGGTTCTAAATGTGATGGTGTAACGGTATGTGGGTACCACCATGCCCCTGGAAACATGTAGCACAATCCCCAAGACTAGGAGAAGAATGTTCAACGTACATCTATTAGGAAGTGCTCCCGCTCTTGACCATCGGAAAGTCTACAGATGACTTACTGTTGGTTTCAAGACTCTCACAGAGTTCACTTTTCACCTCGCCATTTGGTCTGTCATTTCCTTTTTGGATCAGTTTGCTTTGCATGGTGGCAGCTGTCACCACAGCCTTGAAGCTCCTTTTGCGTTTTTGAACATTCTGTTCTGGATGAAAAATTATAATATAAACCTTGGGCATATAGAGCATGCCCAGAGACACTGAAGCACTTAAACTCATGGAGACAGTAAGTGTTGTTGTCTGGATGTACATCTGAGGGGAGAAAAAAAAAAAGAATAACTATTGGTAAGCCTAACAGTAGGAGATAAAGCAAATAACATACTATTTTCTAAAATTATTCCAGCTTCTCTGCTAAAGGCACATTAAAAGGCATTTATTGAAATTGTCCTTAATTATAGTCAATGATTTCTGTATCCTAACCTGCAAATGTAAATGAGTAAGGTTATTTTTTAAACTGAACCCAATTTCTTAAAATAAAAATACAAACAACCAAGCTGGTGGAGCTTATTTTCCTTTTTAGATTATAAATAAACATACGTAAGGAAGGCGACCAAACCAGTCTGGCAAAACACTAACACTTAATGCCACACAGACCTTCTTTAGAAGGTACTAGTGGGCCAAGTGTTATTTTAGCAATAAGTTTAACCCAGAAGGTAAGTATATATAGTGAAATAGAGTGGGAGTGCAACATTCCAGAACATCACTATTACATATCAGTGCTTGAATAATGCTAGCAGTTGCATCTTCACATCATTACATAATTCCAACTACCAAATATAATAAATCACAAGCATGTCATAAGGGCTGGATTTTTTTTAACAATCCCTCTAAAGAACACTTCTAGAAGGTTCTCAATGATAGCATCATATCAAAATAAGTCAGTTGCTTTTAAAAAATATGTAAGATCTCCTCACTCTAAGATATATGTACTGGGGATATGGTCCTGGACACTGCATTCTGAAATTCTCCCCCGGTGCTCATTGCTTGCCCTTATCCCACTGAAATTGACTGCTCTGATACTTACAGAGAGAGGGATCTTTCTGGAAGGCTTTGCTTTCTACAACCTAGAGGTTAAGAATCTGAAAAAAAACCAAAGCTAAAATCACTGCTTTGGCTTTTTCTTTTTGGTTATGGTATGGAAGCAGAAACAGCAGTATTTCCTTCTTTACAAACAGAAACAAAAACTGGTTCCATTTTTCATGTCTTGAGCTCAAAATAGAATTTTCCCCAAATAACTTGGGATACTGAGGCCACGGAGAAGCCACATCTTAAGACTGTAAACAGATTCTCCCTTTGTCATATCTACAACCCTCGTTAATAGATCTGTTCACTCTATTTACATCGCTGAATATTCTAATCCTGATTAGTTGGATTTTAAAAATATGTTTTAATCTGTTATTCTTGCTAAAATGTATCATACTAGTTAGATTTCATCTGGCAGTCCTCAAGATCAAACTAATTGTGTCCTTTTTAATGAAGGAACAACAGCAAAAAACAAAAACAAAAACAAAAAATTCACCCTCAAGGGTAAATAACTGAATCAGCATTAGTGTTGCTTTTTCCTAGAGGAGAAGGCTTCCCTTAACAGATGGCAAAACCTTGAGGTAAAGAACTGTCCAAACCATGAGCAGGATGTGAGGCACAAATTAAGAGACTGTCTTTGGATATAAAATCATACCATGTACATTGCTGAATTTACTGTCCAATTCATCTACCACTAAGGCTGTCCCTGCATAAGAGACCATTGTAAGCCTGGAAAACCCTTTAACAAGATTTACTACAAAGTTTACATGATTTACTACAATTAAGATCATCCCAATGAAATAGGGATATGTATCTTTACAGCTCATAAATCTCCCTAAGCTTTGCCATCTACTTTTAAGCAACCTGTTATTGTAAACATTCCTAAGTTTCTCTAGTGTTGGTTAATCTTTTTTGAATTCCTGCTTATTTTCAAGCTAGTATTGCTGCAAAAATCTACATAGAAAATGCACTGCAGAGAAAGGACATAAAGGTAAGAAAAGAATGTGGCAAAGTACAAACCACACCCATACATGTTCCAGTGCCACTCAAAGAAAACCATCAGTTTTGTTCCAGTCAGACTCTTTTACATCAATTTAGCCTAAAAATAGACAAACAAATCCAGCGTTGAAACAGCCATAAAATGATGGGAACACCTGTACGGATTAGTTGGATTTTTAAAATGTGCCTTAATCTGTTAGTCTTGCTAACATATATAGTACTAGTCCAAATAGTATAAAAATATTTTTGTAATAAATATCCTATAAGTTTTCTCTGCTACCAAAAATATAAATGATAATAGTCTTCTCTCATTTGGAATAACTTCTGCGATATATAGTAAATTTAATCCTGCTAGATATTGGACATGAAGAGGACTCTGGAATGCTAGCTTCCTCGTTAAATAAATTACCGCAATCTATCCTTTTGGCAAGCCAACTCAATGAAAGATGTGATAAACACAGACATTAGAATCAAATAGTACCATGGTTAGTGTAGCAAGCTCTTCATTAGATGCTATACTTTCAAATTATACCAAAATGCTGATCTTGATTATGTACTCTCTTAAAACAGCTTCTGAAAATTTTTAATGTGAGTTTAATACAGGAAAGGCATCTAACAAAATCCTTAGCAAACTAACACAAGAATAGAAAACCAAATACCGCTTGTTCTCACTTGTAAGTGGGAGCTAAATGATGAAAACACATGGAGACATAGAGGGGAACAACACACACTGGGGCCTTTTGGAGGGTGGAGGGTGTGAGGAGGGAGAGGATCAGGAAAAATCATAACGGGTACTAGGCTTAATACATGGGTGATAAAAGTAATCTGTACGACAAACCCCTATGACACAAGTTTACCTTGTGTCACTTGTATCCCTGAACTTAAAATACAAGTTAAAAAATCCACAAAATCATACCCTAAAGTCCACAACCTTACAGTGGCCTAGCATTTGTTACAGGACCATGGACTATGTATGATTAGACTGAGTTTTTGAAATTCATCTTTGAAAAAGCCATACATGTTATAACCTCAATGAAAGCAGTAACAGCAAAACAAGCAGAGAAATACAAATGCCACCTACTGTCATTCTAGAGAAACTCAATCCTTAATAGCATGGATTACAGAATTCTGAATATCTCCCATATTTAATAAGAAGTTGAGAGACTATGTTCAACATTGGAAAATGAGCTCTTGATTTTTTAAAATGCATGGCTTTTTGTATACCTATAGAAAATTCTAATTACTTGAGCCATACAGGAACATAAAAATTAAAAAAAATCCACAAAATCATATTGTGTGATAAAATAATCTGTACAACAAACCCCGATGACACAAGTTTACCTATAAAACAAATCTGTACTTATATCCCTGAACTTAAAATAAAAGTTAAAAAAACACACACACAAATCGTACCCTAAAGTCCGCAACCTCACAGTGGTCTAGCATTTCTTACAGGGCCATGGAAGGAATATGTTCCAGTAGACCGGGTATGAACTCTAGAACCACCACTTATATACATTTTTTTTAAAAGATAAAGTTTACAGCGAAACTCTAGAGTTACTTTCTGGGTGATAAAAGCCCCCAAACCAACCTACCAGGCTACAATCCAAACTAATGAATCTTCCCTGGTTATTGAACAAATACGTTATCTTATTTTCTTCTCTGAACAGTAAGTTCTTATCTATGTCACGGGGTGGGTTTGGCAGTAATACTTTTCTCATAGAGGAGTTACAGGGTTACAAGAGAATGATATAAGATCTCTTATAGATACAAGATAGCTCAAGAAACATTCTTTACCCTACAACTTTGCATCTAAATAGACGCTAACAAAGTATCCTTCCAGGAGTATAGGGCAAAGGAGGGACCAATTAGACACTTATTCAAACCAGACAGTTTTGTTTAGAGAAGAGCTGATAGCCAGGCTCTGACTACACGATGCCGAGGAAAAGCTCTTTGTAATCTCACTTCAATGTAGACAGAATAAAATTTTGTCCAAATGTGAACTCAAGACCATATTTATTGCCTGGGCCACATTCTTAGAATAATATAACAGCTCTTTATCTCAAAGTTACAGCTCATCAGAATGCAGAAGGGGACTGTATTAACTCCCACTAACCCACAAAAATTCAAGAGATGCTAGCAATGATACTGGATATGTTAATAATAATCTTCTCTTTCCCAGCCTGCTCTTATGTGCTCCCTCCTGGCCCTGTCACTCCAAAATACTAACACGCAGAGGATGGGGACTATCTTTTCTATCACACGCACTGATGGCTTGTTACTCTGCCTCCATGCCCCATGGACATTTTGAACCTGAAGCAGTCAGATGCACTGAAGCAGATTTAAGCAATCTCTAGATAAGCCAGAGGTTAGCTGTGGCAATGGAGCATACTAATATGAAATTTTTTCTGGGACCTAGTACAGTTACCTCTTCAAACTCTGAATAGGCCATTTGTACATATCAAGGTCTACTCAATGTAGGTCATGACGTGGAATCATTTAGACTCCGGGAAGAGTGAGAAGGGAGAAGAGTATATTTTTCCAGGATAAAGGTCAGTCTTTTGCTTTCAACCAGCTACCAGTGCACAGACCGCCACAGACTCTGACATCCAACCCGGTATGTTTGCAACCCCTTAGCAACTAAGGTAAACTATTATGAAACCTAACACTCAAAGCAACCTTATGTCACGTGATAAGAAACAGATTCAGTATTTATTCCTGAATATTTCTGTTTTGCCCTCGGTGGTTTAATCTTCCCACTTTGTTTTAGTCACCAGGTTCTGTTTGGCTGCTTTGCATACCACTTGACCAGTTAGAAAGCTACACTCACACTGACAGCCTGTATCTCTCTGCTTCTGTTTCTACTTCCTCATCTGCAAAGTGAAACTTGAATCAAAAAATGGGTTTTCTTTTGCTTTTTTTTTTTTATTTTGTTCCTGTCTTGTTTACATTAAATATCTTCCCACTTTCACTGCTTAGTCCTTTTCTCTCTGCCTCTTGCTCACTTGCTGATCATATTTAGAATGATACACTTAAACCAAGACAGGCTTCACGGGTGTGCACTTGTACACAAGACCCTGTACCAGGAGGACCCCATGCTTGGTTTAATGCTCTGCTGCGAATGTTTTGAAATCCGTAATAATTGTTAGACTCCTGCATTTTCATTTCTTACTGGGCTCCATAAATTATATAGCTAGTCCTCTTTTAAAAATCACTTATATACTGACAAA